GGAAGCTCAGTCCTCACCTCCTTCTACAGGTGTGCAGTGGAGAGCATCCTGTGCTCCAGCATCAACGTGTGGCATGGAGGCTGCACAGCTGCAGAAAGAAAAGCTTTGCAGAGAGTGGTGAAGGCTGCACAGAAGATGTTGGAGTCAGTCTCCCCACATCACAGACATCTACACCTCCAGATGCAGGAAGAGGGCCACCTGCATCATGAAGGACCACACTCACCCAGCACACACACTTTTTGCCCCACTCCCCTCAGGAAGGAGGTTGAGGAGCATTAAGTGTAGAACCACTAGACTGAGGAACAGCTTCTACCCTGAGGCTGTTAGACTCATGAATCTCTAACTAGAATAATCTCTGTGAAAAATCACATCATGTTGTTGCTGATCTGCTTCATGTTGCTGCTGATCTGTTTCATGTTGATGTGTTCATGCGTGCACATCTGCTCACAGACTCATGTTCGTGCTGCTGTTCAGCGTATTGTTTTTATGCTGTTAGTGCTTAGTGTATATTTAGTTGATGTTTTTCTTAGTTCATATCTTAGATGTTATTACTGTTTTTCTTTTACATTTTATTGTTGGATGTAACTGGGATCCTGTGTGCACAGCTTCGTTCCACCACATGTACCACATGGGGTGCGAATGACAAATAAAGAACCTTGAATCTTTGAACCTTGAGTCCTTGAATCACCAATGGAGCAATAGAGTTATCAGATTTTTCTTCTGTCGGCTGCTCCCTTCTTCAGGGGTCGCCACAGGGAACTAAGTTGCATAAAGTCGTGGCAATTATTTTTATCCCGGATGTCCCTCCTGAAGTTATCACACTCACAATAATCAAAGATGGATTGAAGGACAAATGAATGTTATTTAAAATTTCCTTTTCAGTTTGTGACGAGGGGAAAAGGACATTTACCTGTATGGGCTTGGGCTGCAACTCTCAGGAGGGGGAGAGAAACAAAGTGATGTGACATTTCCTGACGTGTTCGTCTAAACTGCTGCTACACACAAATATTGAAGTGGTGCAGAAAACACTTTATGTAATAATTTCTCCAAAATCAAGATGCAGGGTTTTGTAAGGTTTTAACTTGAGACAAAGTCTTGTAACATTTGGATTATGCAACATCTCGTGGCACCAGGTCTTGTTGCTCCCCTACATATTTACTTAGTGATTTTATATTTTATATTTTGAGCAGCACTTTGGTTAGCTGAGGTTGGGTGAAATAGAAAAAAACATTTCTCTAAATGACTTAGGTACATTCTCCAATTTTCTGTGCAGTACACTAACAATACTTTTTGTTGTAGAACTGTTTAAATAAAATGAGCTGAAACAAGTTGGATCTATAAACTCCTTTTAATTCTCACCGTTACAGGAAACAGTCGAGTAAAGTAATGTTCCCAGTTGTCTCGAGCAGCTATAACAATTCTCCTCTTTATGTTGTCATCATGGATGCTGCTTGTGGTTGTTCCAATCTTGAAATTTGCTATAACAAACAACGTGCATAGGAATGGAAAAAGAAGACATAAATCACTTGATAATTCCTCAAAAATACATTGCCTTTATCCTTTGGCAGATATGATGATGGCCGCAGTTCGATGATTGGCTTTGATGTCGTCTCATCTGATCTGCGGCCGCATGTCTTGGACACTCGGGTGAAGAGAGGGGCGGAGTGGTCAAAAGGTGAAGCTCTTAATTTAACGATCGATCTACGTTCCCACCCTCATCTATGGTCACGAGCTTTGGGTTGTGATGGAAAGAATGAGATCTCAGATACAGGAGGCCAAAATGAGTTTTCTCCGCAGGGTGCCTGGGCTCTCTCTTAGAGACAGGGTGAGAAGCTCGATCATCCGGGAGGGACTCAGAGTAGAGCCGCTGCTTCTCCACGTCGAGAGGAGCCAGTTGAGGTGACTCGGGCATCTGTTTAGGATGCCTCCTGGACGCCTCCCTGGTGAGGTGTTCCGGACACGTCCCACCGGAAGGAGGCCCAGAGGAAGACCCAGGACACGCTGGAGGGACTATGTTTCTCGGCTGGCCTGGGAACGCCTCGGGATTCCCCCGGAGGAGCTGGACCAAGTGGCTGGGGAGAGGGAAGTCTGGGCCTCCCTACTTAAGCTGCTACCCCCGCGACCCGACCCCGGACAAGAGGAAGAAAATGGATGGATGGATGGATGGAAGGAGCAAACCATCTCGCTGCAGTGTTGACTCACAAAAAGCACCTGACCAGCTCAGATGTTTAACTCAAACACACACACTGGACTTCTAAACATCATTAAGCACAACAAGCTGCTGAACAGAAATTAATAGATGTTCAGTTTTTAAATTATTATTAATATATTTTATTATTTTTATTCATCTTTTTATTCTAATGAGCCATCCATCCACCCACTTGTTCTCCACCCATCCTTCCATTTCCTTTACCCACTTCTTCCTTGTTGGGTCTTAAGGGAGAATAAGCTGGTGTTTATCTGCAGGCGTCACTCTGCAGGTGGTGCAGCGCACCTTGAACAGGTCTGCAGCCCATCACAGGGACACAGTGACACAGAAGAGACAACCAGTCACTCTCTCATCCACACATGGGGCGGTTTAGAGTTTCCAATGAAAGCAACATGTTTTTGGTCTGTGGGTGGAAATCAGAGTACTGGAGAAAACCAGCACATGCTCAGGGTAACCATCTAAACTCCACCTGGAAAGGCACCAGACCAGAGGGTGGTCCTGAGCCCTTCACCCTGAGAGGCAGCAGCTCTAGCCAAGTCATCATCATATAGTTACTGTGCATTAGTGCAGTAAGCCACAGCTGGGTTGGTGTGTTGGCATCTTACTGCCCTGAGGTTTCATGTCAATGCTGTGAGTGTGCAGTGAGTTTGTGCACAGTCAGTTGATATGGACATGTTCAGAAGAGAAAACACCTCATAACAATTTGATATAAATCTCACCAAGGAGGTCCTTCATCTTCCTTCTCTCCTCTCTGCTGATCCTGACACAACCGTCAGAGTAAGTGTCTCTCATGATCTGAAAAGACAACATGACATGTCTAAACCCGGATGCTTCAAGGCCTGTATCGTTAACAAAGACAATAAAATTCATTATACTAATAATCAAACCACAACATATTAAAGTGATGAGTGATGTAATGATGTATTACAGTGAACATACTGACTTGTTCACACAGCAGGTTGAGGATGTACGGCTGGTTGAACATCTCTTTGGGGTGAAACACCTGCACAAAATGACAAGGTGCTTTTATTAGTATGTTTTTGTTCCAGCAAACTATATTGAAAAACAATATGTTTATTTGTCAGTTGATATCAACTACAAAGCCACAATTATATTGTTGTGTGAATGTTTATGAAGCATTCACACTATTGTGATCCTTCTTCCATGTGGTTTTCAGCATCTCTCTCATCCCGCAGATTTCAGCTATTTCAACAATTCATAAATCAAAACGTTCGGCTCTTTCAGCACAATCCTGCTCTGACTTTTGGTATTGGTGCAACTTTAGCTGTTTGAAATATTTAGCTTTTTCTGCCATTTTTTCCTCGTAGAAAACAAGTTGATCTCATTTTACAACCTTCAACTCTTCAGATCTGTTTACGGCCTTTTACTGCTCCTTTCATATATTTGTTCTGCTTCAGCTTCTTCCTGCACATTTTAAAAAAATCAGCTAATTTCAGCTGTTTTTTTCAAATGTTTTGTTATTCTTTCTGATTCTTTCAGCTAACTAGAACATTTTTGTGCTTCTTCTAACTTATTTCTGCTACTTTCAGCTTATTTCTTCAAGTTTCAGCTTTTTTTTACTATTTCGGCTACAATTTAGCTGTTTTATGCTAATTTTAGCCTTTTCAGCTAATTCCACATTATTTGTGCTCATTTCAACTTTTTTCAGCCCAATTCAACAAAAATGTGCTCTCTCCACTTCCTTCTGGTAAATTAAGCTTCTTTCTGCTTTTTAGCTACTTTTCAGCTGTTTTTTTTAATGGTCAGGAGATCATTAAAGCCTTTAATTTAATTAACTTATTTCTGCTAATTTCAGCATGTTATGCTCCTTTCAGCTTTTTTCTGCAAGTTTCAAAATTTTCTGCTATTTCAGCTACTTTTTAACTGGTTTTGTGCTAAATTTAGGTTTTCCAGCTAATTCCACATTTTTAAAACCCATTTTACCTACTTCAACTTCCTTCTGGTAGTTTAAGCTTCTTTCTGCCTTTTCAGCTACTTTTCAGTTATTTTTGGCTAATTTCACATTTTTTTTTAGCTAATTTCCTGTTTTGTGCTCATTTCTGCTTATTTAAACATAATTCAGTAAATATGTGTTCTTTCTGCTTTCTTCGGCTAACTTCGGCTCGTTCTTCAACTTCAGCTGCATGTCAGCGTGTTTTAACTAATTTCGGATGTTTTTCAGCACGTTCTTCTACAATGAGCATTCGCAGTTTGCCTGGTCATGTTTTCCTGTTTGAACATTGAGGGTTCAGCTGTTTGTGCCTGCTCTTTATATCTCGGTGTAGTTAGTCCACTGCTGCTTCAAGTTACAATTCTTAAAATAAACTTGTTTTTGTTCCTTACAAACTCAACTCATTGATGCTCGTACAACTCCATTGACAGTGTCTGTTTACACGGGCAAGCTGAGCTAGACAGGAAGTGGCTGACTTTAACATCAAACAGCTTGCTTTCAAAATAAAAGCACTGCAAGAACTTGAAATGAAATCAGAAATGATGGAAATGTGTGCAGAATAATTTCCACGTGATTCGTTTATTCTTTAATGACCTCCCTGGTGTCGTACATGAGCTGTAGGACGTCCATGTGTTGTGTAGAAGTTTTTAAATAGTGTGCATATAAACACATGAATATATGAACATATATAAACTATTGTCTCTGACACTGGAGTTATTTAAGGTGGCAGTAATCCACTTTGAGCTTGGCCCTATTCAGACCTGCTATGGCTCATCTGTTTGACTAGAACCACTTTGTTTCTCCAAACTGAAGTTGTTCATCGGGCCAGTTATAATGGGTCAGGTTCGTTCAGCACACAGCTCCACTTCAAATGATCTACACTGTGACTTCGACAATATTTGGACGTTGAGCTGATGAACACATTTAGCTCAGTCAAGTCAGAGTTGATTTCTTATGTTAAAAGTCCCAACATCAGTCAGGTTTCACCATTTGAAATTGGAATATGGGAGAATTTTGAGTTCAGGGTTTGATGTTCACCTTCTCTTTTTACAAATTATTGGTTTTCAAAAAATCCTTTTGATAACCATTTTTTAAAAGATTGAAAAAAAATTTAATTGACAACGCACAATTTCTACACAAGATGTTATAAATAAAGTTCAACAATCAGAGATTTGACCAAATCTCCTTTTCAGTTAACAAATGAACAAACGAACGAACAAATGAATAAATGAATGAACGAACGAACGAACGAAC